TCTCCTCTCCTTCCCCTTTCTGAGGAGCCAAGTAGAGTCTTGAGTAATGTGGGCCTTACCCAGAGCTAAAGATAGAGCTGCTCAGAGCATTCATCTGTCATTCTCTGACACCAGTGTAATCAGGCCCACAGGATCCTGCCTACAGGCTGGACTTGACGAAGGACTTGAGTGGTCCAGAGTCGGCTGGATAGCAGCCAGCCCCAGGGAGCAGAGCGAGTAAACATGGCATGACTCTCATTCTCCGACTGCTGCCTGCACACAGGACAAATTTATAAAAACACGACGTGGAGAGCAAAGAGTCATTGATGACTTCACTGATGCTGCAGTAGACTACCTCTGCTATGGAACGGGAATGAAAAGACATTCATTTTGAACCTGCCTGTGGCTCAGTGGGACAGAAATGTGACCTTAAGACGTACATGCAGGAGAATTTCTGAAAACCTGCGACCCATAAATGGTACTGAAGTTCAAACTTTAAACTATTCTGGGCCACAACCAGAGTTGCCACCTGATAGTTCGATAGCGGGCTGGTGGGCTGATGGGGGTTAAAAACCTGTTTTAGGTCCTAAAGAATTTTTTTAATATATTTTTACTGCTTTTATACATACTTTTTGGTTTATTTTCTATACTTTATGTACAGACAACATCATTATTTTACCTAAAGAAAACAAGTACTGAACTTCAGACAGGATATATAATATAGTCACAGACCCAATTGGATGGTTCACTGGGCCAGATTTGGCCCACGGGCCACCAGTTTATAATCACTGTTGTAATGACGACTGACTTCCACCAACAATAGGCCATCACCAAAGTTACAAAGCAAAAATTGGCCACCAGTTTATAATCACTGTTGTAAGTCATGACGGCTGACTTCCACCAACAATGGGCCATCACCAAAGTTACAAAGTAAAAATGATCAGGATTGACCTTGACCCAAATTCATACACATTTAGAAAAGCCATCAACCACAGGGGGGCAGAAATGTGTGACTTTGTTGTCATAAGACCAGAGCCGTCACCGTGCCCACACTGACCGTGTGACACCAGGGTCAATGTCACCGCCCTTTCCTGTCCATTAGGTGTCTGTTTAAGAGTCACAATGAATTGACGGTTTTTCTTGACATTCAAACTTCGATATGGAACAGTACTATATGTGTGGTGTGAACAGTCAGAGTGAAACTTTTACCATCTTGACCAATTCTGGAATTCTGCATTCATTTCCCATTAAAAATGCACTGACATCCGCCACAGTGAGTGGGATCAGAAATTAATGACGCTGGATGATTCAGCTGAGCCGTAAGTGCGTCGAAACATTCCTGTAGAGCTCGGTCACTTAATACCCATAAATCTTTTTCTGGTGTGAATATGCAGAGGTGGACAGAGGCTGAGTGGGAAAAGAACGAAATATGGAGAGAGAGAGAGCGAGAGAGAGAGAGAGGTGGGGTTTTCATGATCTTATCAACATCCTGTTTGTGTGACCTGCTGCTTATGCTGATGGAGGACAGTAATCCAGTAATCTACTGGATGAGAGAGCAAATATGGAGGAAAGAACTCCAGGAAGAACTGCAACATGGGGTCAAACAGTTTATGTAGTTTATATTTATTTTTCCTGCAAAGCTCAGATTAATAAAATCTGTTTAATGTGTTTGTATGCAACTATTTATTTCTTTGGGTTTTTCACAGTGTAGTAAAGAATAGGGTTCTTAAAAAACAATGTTTTTGACCAATATTAAACTACTTCTACTACTACTACTAGAATTACTACTGCGATAACAATAACAATAGTAATGAAGGTAATAATGAAAAGTTTTGTAATGACTATAACTTGGTCCAGTTCACTCCCTCTTTGCCAGGTTATAGACCGTTTTACTACATTTTTAGCCACAAGTAATGCTAATGTTGTGCTATCTTTTGGCTATATAATAATAATATGTAGCTATTTCATTAGTCGCATCAAAACCCATCAAACAATGATTGCGTTTTTTTGTTTGGTTTGTATTATTGTTTATGTTGTTGCGTTGGTGTGTGTGGTCCTGCAGCTTTAATGACAGATGTGTAGAGAGGGAGGAGCGTGGGGCAGGGCCCAGTAAACAGTCCGAGACATGCATGTAGGAGGTCTGAGTGCAGACTGAAGCCAGAGCGCGCAGTGGTGCACACACACACACACACACAAATAAAGATAGTGTTTCTTTACTGCCCCTGCGTTGCTACATCTCAACAGAACCTCAGTCTGTCAGGTCACTTTAATGAGCGTCAGACCTGAAGACCTCAGTTCACTGTCCTGTTGCATGGATTCACTACTGGAACTGAAACTGTTAATTTAAGGCCAGTTATGAAAGTATTCTGTTCTGTTGTCTGGAATGACTAATTTGGGCCGGCGTACGTTAATCTTTTTTATTTTTGAAGTCTTTCTTTTATTACTGTGACTGTACTTTTACTTATCTACATGATCTTTTCACCATTTTTTTAATTTTTATTTTTTACCATTTTTACACTATTTTGGTTCACTTTCTTTGCTGTTGACTTTCAGATGTTTTCAGAAAAATAAAGATAAAAAAATGCAATTATTTTAAAATATTAATTACAAACTCACTAATTAATTATGTTTCTTTTGAATCATGCCCCACAACTAGTGAAATGTCTTTTTTTTTGCACATTCTGTTTATAGAAAGATGATTTATTCTTGCTCATTTGAAGTTATTCCAGTTTTCTTTTGGCTATCGTAACCTGGGTTTGACCTCATGAGTTTATATACAGTATAAAGGACACATATGTTTGAATGTGATACTGTATATGGAGTACTAGACCTTGGGACAAACTGTACATTTACGTATATTTTGTTTTAAGTTTTTCCTTTGAAATCCAGGATGATGCAATGGTTGGTTTGTTTCTTTTCAGCTCCTGCCCGTTGGCGACTGCGGTTCGTGTGAGCATGTGTGTGATATGATCGTGTTCATGAAGGTGGAAGTCACCCCTCTCCTGACCCTCTTTAAGCCCCAGGGGTCAGACATTGTTCAGAAGGACGCAGACACCCAGGCTGATGGATGACCGTTCAGACCATTTCCCTGGGTTCAGCTCCACTCGGGAAATCGTAATTCAACCCCTGAGAGAGGATAAATGCAGGCCCGGCCCTGGTTACGGCTCTGCGCTAATTTTCCTCCGAATCCAGGATGCGATGAAGAGGCTGAAGAGCTCAGCTGCCACGGATGAAATTCCTGAAGAGGTGGAGTAAATCTTCTCTCACATGATGTTCCATCTCTAAACAAAAACATCCGCCACAGTTTGTTTTCTTCTTGGAAACTAACATTTGTAAATCTCTCAGCACAACAGACCACACCCCCTTGAATAAATCAGCATTTTTATCTCATTCGATCTGTTTTCACACAACACATAAAACATGAGGAAAATCACAGATTATGTTTTTGGACCTTGGTGCTTTTCCACAGCTCAGTCGGGTCAGAATGTGATAATATTTTGTTTTTCTTTTAAACCCAGCTAAATATAGCTTAGAAAGGCTCAAAGATATCTAAAGGTTACCTTGAAATAGCTAATACTTAGTTCAATAATGACTGAAAGTAATATTAAGATAACCATATTAAAGCATACTGTACATGTAAGGTAAAAGGCAGTGGTTCTCACAATTGGGAGTGGTCTCCCTATAGGGGGCAGCAGTGCAAACTAATTTAATTCTTAATATTTTTTTATTTTTGCCACAATTAATAGTAGTAATTTGTAATTTGTAGTAATAGTTTTACTACAATAGTTAATTTGATTTACTTATAGAAAAATATTTCAAATGAAGTTGAGGAGTTTTGAAGCAATAGCTGTGGATTTGTCAGGGTGTGATGGAGTTGCTAAAGGTTAGCCCAAAGATGAGTAAAATGTATCCTAAACTATCTTAGAAAAACAATGGTTAAATACCACAAAAGCTGAAATAATATTTTTATAAACACAATGAGAAATGTAGAATTTAAAAAAGAAACTGTGGGCCAGAAAAATCCTGTCCAAGATCCATGACTGACCCCTTTGCCATACTTTGACCATTATTTTTCAATTTCATTATTTTCAACCCTAACCCTTCATCAGTCTGCACCACCACTTAGATGGTCGTTAAATTAGTTGTGAAAGTATAGTTTCATATTCTTTTTTGTTTTGTGTATTTATTCAGAATTTTTCATTCCAACTCTTAACAAATGAACGCTTCCTCCTTTGTCCATGTAAATGCCACGGTGCCACAGACATATTTTCTCACGGTGGACACTCTGTCCCTCTCCTGAGGGTCATGACCAGGGAAGTCTCACTATTATTTGAGTTCACATTACATGTGTGGAACGTTTCGCAATGCCTAAGCTCAACAGAAATACTTTTTTTTTTGCACGTGGCACCGGGGGAAAAGCCCCTCTTACATGAAAACACACATCAGGTAGTCTCACATCCCTAAACTTTAAAGGAACTCACTCAATTTCATGTACAGAATACCAGTGGAAAACAAATTCAACCACTTTTCCCACACACACGCACACACAGCTATAATGCTGAGAACTAGGGTCTGGAACTGGTTTAGATCAAGAAGGAAAATATCGTTCTCACGATGGGAGTCAGTAATGCCCCCGTGGAAAATGTCTTCTGTGGCTAAAGGTCTAACTTTGCTTAGTCATCTCTATGTAGGCCTTATGTTCCGTAGGTTTATGGTCACTAGTTGTCCCTCAACCCACAAGTATGACATTTGCACAGGGACATTAACCAGGTATAGTTTAAGTCCCACATGTAAATGCTGTTGGGCCAAGTGCCAATAACATCAGTGTACAAAAGGTGTGCAGTCAGAGTGACTGTTTGAAGAAAAAAAGATTTGCCTCCAACAACATTTTTGCCGTATTGTTTGAACTGCCTGACAATTTCCGTTGTGTCCTGGTAAGATTTGTCTCTGTGATTCCACTAGATGGCAGTGTACAGCTGTGGTAAATTCACGAGGCCTGTTGGGCCAAACTTTATTTGGCCTAATAAACAGAAGTTCAGTTAAAACAACAACAATTAAAAATATAAACCAAATGCAGTTTTAATAATACTTTAACTATCACAACCAGACCATTTCCTCTTTTCATAAGTTTCGTTTTTTCATCTGGAAGCTTCTACCGCAAGAGCTCTACGTCTTCTCCTTGGTTACATAAGGAGGATTTTTCCCGTTCACCCTCCGCTGAGTTGAGCTGTGTAAATTCAGAGTCGCTTCAGTGGTCATTACGGCTGGTTCTATTCCTGTCCTTTGACGGGGCTCAGCAGAGCATAGCGAAATGCAAAGTTTGTGGCAAAAAAAAAAACACATGCAACACTTCCGGCTGCTGCTTTTGTAGGAGCAAAACAGCTTGAGTTCTGTGTACAAATGGGTTTTTTTTCACATGCTTGTGAGATATTTAAATTCATAATACGGTAGTCTGAACTGTGTCCTTTTCAAAGCACTCTGACATTATTGTGTCAGATTCTGTGAGTGTGATTCACAGCAGGAGTGTATGTGATCAGGTAATTTACCACAGTCATGTGATGGTCATGTTTGGTTTTTCTGAGGAGGAAGTGTGTACTGTCACTGTACTTTCTACTCAGGCATGTGGTCGAACTTTTTTACAGAAATGAACTTTAAATAATCGGCAGCAGCACCTGTCGCCTGGTGGCTGTATTTGGCCTCCTACTCAGGAAAAGAGTTGCGTGGAGATGTAGGTAAAATTAGAAGCAAAGCTTCAAACCACAAGGAATTACTTCCCCAATCGTTTGGAACGATAATTAAATATAAAAACAAAAAGGAACAAAAAGCATAAAATATTGCTGTTAGCTAAATGTCAGCGCAAAAGAAAAATGATAATTCTCACTCTTATTATACATATTATTGTGGTTATATGTTGTTAGGTTAAAACTTTAAAATGGACTATTTCAAAATGTCTATGTATATTGTTTATATTCAAATGTCTAAATGTAATAGTGACAGATGTGACGGCATCAGTGCAGCACCTGTACAGGTTGCTGTCCACAAACCAGTGATTACATCACCTTGTCACTTGTGAGATTAGTTACTTCAGAGATCAGTTACTACAAGAGACATGGACAAATATCTTCACTCTTATTGATAAATAGGTAACTCCAATAATCCTGAAGGAAGAGAGTAATGATAACATTCAATAATAATAAAAAAAAGAATCTGACTCTGATTCACGTAGGCTTCAGTGAATCAGTGAGAGGCTCTGTGATGGTTTGGGTCTGCATTCTTCTTGGTCTAGACTAGTTTACAATGCTGTCTTAAATTTTATTTACTTATATTTTATTACAAGGTTCACATACAGTAACTTTTTTCATTATTTTCGTAAGACTCTGGACCATAATTTATAAAAGAATTTCTCTCTAGGATTTTACACCTAATCTAATTTGGTAATCTCAGTAAATATTCTGTCGAAAGCAAATATACTTTAGGTATGAGGACCATTGTCTTTTGTTAAATTTCATGTTTTTTCACATTATTATTATGATTTTAATTATTTCTCTGCCCTAATAAAAGAACATAGTTTGGGTAAGTTGTTTTAATACTTTTTCATATCTAAATGCATTTCTTAAGAACTGAACCAGTGTTTTTTTTTTCTAAAACTGTTTATTTCTGCCTTTTGTTTTGGTTCTGTTCAGCCTGTAAAACCTCTGTCTGTTGACGTGACCTCATCATAAACTCTTCCATTGTTCTGGTGAGTTTGTAACTAACTGTGTGAATTGTCATCACCTGTTGATTGCACTGTAGTGCAGTTGTGATTCTTGCCACCTCATCTGTCTGCCCACATCCCGTCACACGGTGCTTTGCATGTTCTAACACATACAGAAAGTTCTCTAAGGTGTGAACTGACGGTGCAGCACTCACTCTCCCCTGGTACTGTTTCCCCAGGGACTGGCACCACACCCTGGTCTTCCCCTACGCATTAGCATCCATCAGTGTCTCTCACCTCTAATAGGTTTTGTTTTACATGAATATGAAACACAGCGATGGCAAAACATTTAACCTGCAACCTGTTAAATCAATGAAGAAGTGTTCAATCTGAGACTTTCTGTATGTTAGAACATGCACTGAAATCACAGTATTGGAGGGAATCATACGACATCCTGTTTTCTTGTGTTATGGTTTTTGTTTTGGTTTTTTATTTACTTCTTTGTAAATCTGTACATAGAGTTAAAGAAGAATCAGTTTCACAGCATCAAATCTAAGGACCGGGGTCCAAACAAAGAACATTATGAGTCTGGATCATCTGGACAGATTCACCGAATAACAAAGGCTAGAGATTTAAATATGAATGTTTACATTTTTTGTTGTTGTTTTATATCAACAAAAAGAAAAAAAAACATCTCACAAAAGATTGTGGGTGAAAATGTCAGTGTTTATGGCATATCAACACTTTTTTTTTTTTTTTTTTACAAATTTCTTGAAGTTGTACTATTCTACTCGGTTGACTTTCAGCAGACTGAGTTAGAATGAATTATTTCCACTAGTGACTAATTCCAGTTGTAACCCAGCAACAGTTGACCATGTCTTTTCCAGGGAATTCCATGTGAAAATTGCTTCCTAAAAATACTTACGACACGTGCGTGGGATCTGCATATACAAATGTAACAGTGTATCTGATGCAGGGGTTTGTGGGAAAATCTAGATCAGGGGTTACCGACCTTTTTTGAAACAGAGAGCTACTTGTTTGATACAGACTTTCCCAACAATGTAATAATAATCAGTTCTGGGACAGACAATAGCAGAACGCTCTTCTTATTATCATCATTGAACCCATTTGAATATCGTTGCAGGTGGAACTGATTCAAAAAGCACAGTAACAATTTCTGACCCTCTTGTTGACTGGTTTTATTTTAAGAATATAGCCTGTTGGCACCGTAGGTAGTCCATGGGGGCTACCAGGTGACCCCAGGCACCACGTCGGTGACCCCTCATCTAAACATATCCCAACAATCAACATAAAAAATGTCTCAACCCTATGGTTAATTTCGCTGGAATAACGTTTTAGGAAGGAGTTCGCTGAATAAGTTTTGTTTTGTCGATACGAGGTGCTCTTTTACCGCCTTGAAAAATCCCCTCAGTAATTCTGACTGACGTGTCAGTTAACAATGAACAAAACGTGTTCTGTGGATTAGTGCTGCGCTGCCAAAGACAAACGTTTGCTCGTGTGTTCTATTGTCTGTTCTCCACAGCAGGTCTGTTTGAACATCTGTTCCTCTTTCTGGGGGAGAAGTTGTGTCCTGGGCTCCTTCCTGTATTTCCTGTCCACAGACAGATCAGGCGGTCAGGGATCATCATGTCAGAGAGGACACGTACCACTGGTAGTTAGCAGTAAAAAAAACAAAATACAAGTAGTTAGTGGGAAAAAACTGCACTTGTAGCTAGTTATTAAAAAATACTCATAGTTAGCAGTAGAAAAGAATTACTAATGTAGCCAGCAGAAAAAATACTACTTGTAGTTAGTAATTTAAAAGAAATACTTATAGTTAGCAGTAAACAATTACTATTCATGGTCAGTGGTAAAAAATACTACTTGCAGTTAGTAATTTTAAAAAATACTGGTATTTAGTAGTAAAATACTACTTGAAATTAGAATTTAAAAAAATGTTTTGTTAGCAGTAAAATACTAATCATGGTCAGCAAAAAACAAAACTAATTTAGCAGTAAAAATACATGTAGTCAGTAATAAATAGAAAATACTCGTAATTAGTGGTAAAGAAAAATAAACACTAACCCCCTCCCAAATCATTAACCAACTTTTCTTTCTTTTGGTTATGCACAAATAACTCAATGAGTTAAATTGTTGGATTTGAAGTAAAATCAGTAGTAAAAAAAAAACAGATACAAAGATAAGCAAAAATATTTTATCAATTCTAAATATCCTGATCAATTCTAAACATTCTAAATATTATATATTTCTAAATATCCTGATCAATTCTAAACATTTGATGTATGATACATTAATTTGTCGAAATGCACTTCTTGTGTGTAAAACTCAAATTTTATTTATTTGCTTTTGCTCTTTGTTATTACTTTAACTTTATATAAAATATAATATATATTACTTGTTACTTAAATAGCAGTCGTATCTTCTTGATTTTTTTTTTTTTTGTCTCCTCATCTACACCAACCGTTGTAGGTGTAGCTACAGCACATGAAGTGATACTGATTAGAGGATATGATCCTTGGTCACTTCATACACCGACATGTGGTGTGGTTAGACAGCTTTCTCCTCACGTCCCAGGATGTGGGCTCCTTGTCCACCTGGGCCTCCTCCGTCTTCTCCCAGTTCCTCTCTGGATGACTATTCTCATCTCACCCGCTCCGCTTCTAAATGAGCCCCCCTCCCCAGAGACCCTCGCTGCCAATGCCTTCTTCCACCACCGAGCTTGCATAACACGACCTGCTGAGATTCGAACACAACTTCTCATTGTTGGACGTGTGTTTGTTTCACTCACCTGCTTGTGCAACAGTGAGGACAGGTTTGAGTCCAGTGTCACTCAAGCTGTTTATACGATCTAACTCAGGCATGGGCAAACAAAGGCCCGGGGGCCGGATGTGGCGCGTTCAGCTTTTTAATCCGGCCCGCCAAACTTTTCCAAATTATATAATTTATTTATATTAACATTATACTTCTGCCCTTTCCCAGCAATTCCAATGGTTCCCCAATAGATGACGTAGAAAATGCTTTAGGACAATTGTGGCCCGTGAGTCAAAAACTTTGCCAACGTCTGGTTTTATTGGTAAAACGAGGTTTCTGCACTTTCTTAGTCCTTTATGATGGAGCGGAGCAGCAACGCCACCATTTGGATTTCAGTAATAACTATTCTTAAGTAGAATTATTATTTCCCCAGTGCAGGATCCATACAGTTCAACCTTCACCTTAACCAGTTCTGATTTAGATTAGATTAGATTAGATTAGATTAGATTAGATTATGTAAAATAAAATGATATTTGATCACATTGGATTAGGTCAGATATGATTAAACTAGAATAGGTTAGGTTAATAGGTTAATAGGTTATAGGTTCGGCTAGATTGGATTAGATTATAATAGGTTATGTTGGTTTAGATTAGATTAGATTAGGTTAGGTTAGATAAAATACAATACAAATATAAAAATATATGTAAGTACTGGCATACTGGAGATTTTCAAGATGTGTACCTTCCATAATTACAAAAAATGTTTGGGTTTTTTTTTTAACCAAATTATATCAAACTGTTTTTTGTTTTGTTATTTTGTTTGGGTTGTAAATGGAGAACTTGTAAATATCTGTTACAGACCAATGATCACAGGTTCTGTAAATGTTATACAGCCCCCTACAGGTCAGCGTGTGTGCACCAGTGTCGAAATGAGAAAGATGTCTGTAATGTTCTAATGGTTTCTTCTGTCTTTTAATGTCACAGAGCAGGGATGTCCAAGATCTGGTTTGTGGACCTTTAGTTGCACCTTCTTTTCTAAGAAACTATTGGTATTTCTTTTGACATTTTTGGACTTTTCTGTGTTTTTTTTAATTTAATTTATGTTTTTGTTTTGCTTTTTTATTTGGGATTTTTTTTATTTGTCTTCAAACTTCTACCCTCTGTAAACAGTCAACCATGAAACCACCGGTCCATGTTGACAACAGCACTGGTGACACTCACACTGCTGTGTATGATGTCAGTACTGACTCTGTACATTCAGATTCAGATTCTTCTTTGACTTTGACAGTAGGGGCTGTTTCAGCTTCCTGTCGCAGTTTTGAAGTCAGTTCCTGTTCCAAGGAACTAAGACAGAACTCCACCACATACAGACAACCACACACAACACACTCCACTCACAAACACACACAAAGGCCCTGTACAATTTTGAGCAGTGAGTGCAATCTCCAAATACCATCTTTCCTTATGAGGACCTGAAAAATGTCCCCATAAGGACAAAGGGTCTGCACAACGAAGCATTTTACCAAAAGAATGTCCCCACAAAGATCTTACACAAACACACGCACAGACGTCTGATTCTAATAAAAGCATCATATTAAGAAAGATTTTTGTGTGTGATTTTTGTTTTTATTTTATTTTTTTCAACAATGTTTAAAATCCACAATTAAAATAAAATGTCCAAATATTAAATAAATCTTGACTGGGAACCTGTTAAAAAAAGGCAAAGGGATTTTTTTAATGATGGGTTTTGATCTGATATGTTTCTGGAACTGGATTTCGATCTTGGGACGAGGCCAAGAAGAAGGTTATGACCTGGTGACGTCAACACGACGGAGGAATTCTCTGAAGGGAACCTCGCTTTAAACTTTTTTTTCAATGTTTTTCAAACAGGTTTTGATTCTCTGAAGGGAACCTCGCTTTAAACATTTTTTTCAATGTTTTTCAAACAAGTTTTTTTTTTCTCATTTGTCTTTAAAACACTAATACAATACAAAAGACAGTCGAGAGATTTTTATTTTCACTGTTAACAAATGAATTGAAAAGTTGT